ATTATCTCACATTAGAAGTTCATGAAACAATTTGAGATAAGTACATCTATAATATGAACATGGCATCCAATAGTTTTCTATGAGCCTTTGAATTATAATCTATGAGGTTCATTCACGAAGTTAAAAATTTTTAAACTAAAAAAAGAAAAAAAAATCAGGAAAACCACCAAACTGCGATTAGTTCATCGGTTTACAGTTGAACCGGCCAGTTCAGTGGGTTTTGAACGGTTTTGTCATAATGAGTTAGCTGTGCATGATTTTGCCCGATTTTGGGTCCAATTTTTGTTTTATCATGTGGTTTAGAACATCTTTTAGTGTACAAGTTCATTGAAAAAAATAAAATTTCAGCCCAGCCTAATATATTTCCTGGCTCCGCCCCTGGATGTCTATCACTTTCTTATCATGAACTTGTACTATTTGTCTATTTCACTATAGTATGTGAAAAATTTGATAGGCCACATTATACTTGGCCTCACATTTCTCTACACGGGCTAGCATTATCTGGCCTAACAGAAAAGTCGGCCTACTTCAATTAAACCAGCCGATGCAATATGCAGAACCAATTGAAATGAAAAAATAAAAATAAAAATAAATCACATACTAATATTGATTTTTACGGAGAAATTAATCCCCTGTTTGGTTTGGAATAAAATTAGATTTTTATTAAATTTTGATAAAAGTTAATGAAATGTGTGATTGATAAGTTGATGAAATTTTGAATCCCAGAAAATGTATATTTGAAAACAAGTATGAGAAAAAGTGAGTTTTAAAAACAATCATGTTACGTGTACATTAAAGTTTACATCATTATCTACATTCTTCCACATGGACATCATTATCTCTTTTGATTTTTTCAACACCTTTTTACATTACTGTCCAGATTGTGCCATGTAAGGAGGTTGTCAACCATAATGTACACTACAATGTACATTTAGCATTTTCCTTGTTGGAAACGGTTTTTGGCTTTTGTTCAATCAGAATGGGTTGGAGAGTCCCTAGAACTCATTTGTCATATCTTAATAAAAGTTAGATCTAATTTCCTTAATTAAAAAGAAAATAATAATTTCAATGTACCTTAAAAAAACACCCTACTAATCTCTTAACACAATTCTTGAATATGTAGAAGCAAAATCTAGATTACATACTTATCTCCAATTCAAGATTCAAAGTTCAAAAAAGGTTCAATCTTGAGCGTTTTGATTTATTAACAGTCATGAAAAAGGAGGTGCTAACCTGTGACTTATATTCATATTAAAGGAAACTTGTGAATCCCATTAATGAGAAGGTGGTGAAAAGTAAAATGATTTCTTTTTGAGGTGGAAATTTAATCCACAGGCTCCTCTCCCTCCACATATATCATGCATGTATGTATGTATGTATGTATGTATAAAGTCAAAGCCAGCTCCATCAGGTAATCTTGGTCCATTTCAACATATATTCAGACAATATATGTCTGTATTCAAATCGTACAATTTTGTATCTATATTTTGCTTATAACCAAACCCCTCTTTTTTTCACCTTGTTTTCAACATTTTTATCCCAAGATTTGTCGTGGGGTGGTTGTGCATTTTTCACGGTCATACGAGCGCAACAAAATTTTTTGAGTTAAATTTGTCTTTTTGTATTGAATTATCATAACAATTTTCTTTTCTTTTTTTTTTTTATGTTTGATAATGTTTCAGGAAGTGGAACCCAGCAGTAAAAATTGTGAAAATTTGACTGTGCTTGAAATTGAGCTCAATTAGGGTTTTAGGGTAAAATTCAGTGGTTCTATATATAATGGAGAAAGAAGGAAACTATTCGGTAATACATATGTAGTTCCAAATTTTATATTTTTTCTATTTTTTGTGTGGTTACATTGACACATCATTTCATGGCCTTGTTGTTTTACGCTGAACATCCAAATTTCTTGCAGCAGGCTACAGGAAATTATCCTGCTATTGACTATTCTATTGAAAATCAGCAGCAGCAGCAGATAATGAGGCCACAAATTGGAGAAACTTATGCTGATAATACCTGTCAAATGGTTGATTATATGCTCAATAATCCTCCACTTCAATCCTCTAATTTTTGCGGTTCGACTTCGTTGGATAAGTTGAGTTTTGCAGATGTGATGCAACTGGCAGATTTTGGCCCCAAGTTAGCATTAAATCAAGCTAGAACTTCTGATAATCGAGAAACTGCAGGAGGGATTGATCCAGTTTACTTCCTCAAGTTTCCAGTTTTAAACGAGAGATTGCAAGATGATCAATCCCTACTGGGGGCACCTCAAGCCCTTGGAGACAATCAAGAAAGTAATGGTAAAGCAGTGGAAGAAGGTGGTGAAGATATGTTTGAGGAGAATAACTCGGTTCAATTAAGGTTTCACGGGAAAAATCTTGAAAAAAACCCAGTTCCGGAATCAGGTAAGAACAAGAGAAAGAGGCCTAGAACTATAAAGACGAGTGAAGAAGTTGAAAGCCAAAGGATGACACATATCGCAGTCGAAAGAAACCGGAGAAAACAAATGAATGAGCATCTTCGAGTTCTTAGGTCCCTCATGCCTGGTTCTTGTGTCCAAAGGGTAATCAAATATAACTTTCTGTTTCTTTTTTCATATTTACAAGTCTAGATTCATTAAGATTTAATATATTTTTGTTTTGTGCCAATTATAGGGAGATCAAGCTTCGATAATAGGTGGAGCCATTGAGTTTGTGAGAGAATTAGAACAACTTCTCCAATGCCTAGAGTCGCAAAAGAGGCGACGACTCTGTGGAGATGGCCAAGGACCTATAGGAGATCCTTCTCTTGTGGTGCATGAGCAGCAGCAGCCTCAACAACCATTTCTAATTCCGCCGGTGCCTAATCCACTTAATGATCAAGTTAGACTCGTCGAATATGAAACTGGACTGCACGAAGTAACAGCCGAAAGCAAGTCATATTTGGCTGATGTTGAAGTGAAGGTTTTAGGGTTTGATGCACTTATCAAGATTTTATCAAGAAGGAGACCAGGCCAGCTCATTAAGGCCATTGCAGCACTTGAAGATTTGCAGCTTAATATTCTTCACACCAACGTTACTACAATCGAACAAACTGTTCTCTATTCTTTCAATGTCAAGGTACATATTCTTTCAATGTAAATGTCTATTACTATAAGTGTGACGAGGGCACACGAGGGCCGATTATATATATGTCTCCCTTTAAAGTTTGTACCTTGCTTTTATTTCTTCTCAATCTAAAAAATACCACATGGTGCATGGTTTGAGTTTAGAAGAAAACATAGATAAAGTTTGACAAAATATTTATTTCCCATAATAATTGAAAAATATCAATTTGTGTTTTGAATATTGTCATAAGCAAATATTTTGCTTTCAATTAATTAATTTTTGGTATTGTATTTGCAGATTACTAGCGAAGCAAGGTTTACTGCTGAAGACATAGCAAGCTCTGTTCAACAAATATTCAGTTTTATTCACGCAGAAAGCAGCATATGATGTAATGAAATAGACGTGTCGCATATTTACTTGGATATTTACAAACTTTTATCTTTTTGTGGGTTGTCACTTACTCAATATATTATTTTCTTTATGAGATACTACTGCAGCAACTGAATTGAATAATGATATGGTTTTATGGTTGAACCCCGGCATTGAGAGTAAAATCCATACGTTCACTTAGACGTTAGAATAATAATAAGCATATAAAGATTTGGACTAATTTTCTAAACATTGTTAACCAATCCTTTAAATGACTAAATCAATGATTCTGAACCTCAACTTTAAGTCGATTCTCAAACGCAATCATCTATTTGAATCGATAGATCTTCAAATTGTTCATTTGAAAAAAATGAAAACCCTTCGCATTGGGTTAGCATAATATTTTTGGAAAGTCGGCATTCTTATCAACGGAGAATACCAAATTGGATGATTAACTTATTCCATTCTGGAAATTATCGCATCAAATCAGTTGACAACACAGATTCCTTTGCCTCAAACGAGCTCCTCTTCTGGAGTTATGTGATATGGTAAAACTCTACATGACTTGGGTATAAAAATAATCAGTTTAGCATATGCGGCTTGCAAAGGTTGACCACACAGAATCCCAATACTCAATAGCTAGCACTCTCTCTCACAGTACATGTGGTCTGTGTATGTAACATTGCAATCTATCTTATGGTAATGGCTTTTGTGGTGAGAACCTAGCTAGGCGGTTATATAGAGACAAGATATGGAGAAGTGTCAAATTCAATGGTTATGCAATAATAGTAGGACATGTTTGGAAGGTCAACGCACCCCACTCCACCTCACAATCTTTGATTACTTTTGGGTTGACCTGTCAGAACTCAGAAACTATAATCAGAAGTCTCAATTAGTGTAGGGTCCTTTCTGTCATCTTGTTTATGAAGGTTTCCAATCATCTCCCATTTTTGTCTTATGGGTTTCAGTCAATATTTGGATGTATTAGCTAACAATTAATTTGTACATACAACGATGCACATGGTGGTGGGGTTTGGTTTCTTTAAGGTTGAATTGGGATCATTCGAGACTTAACATATACATTTGTTTTTTCTTACCCAAGATAGAAAATGAAAATATTTTCCCAAAAAGTGGAGATGTAGTAGGAAAAACCGTAATTATCCTAGTTTCAAGATACATTTTCAAATTTAAAAAATTTAATGAAAATTTTCAAAAATCAATTACTCTCATTTTGTGACTTTGAGTAAATTTATGACTTGTATTTAATCAAACAAGTCATGATCATAATAAACACACAATTTATAGTCATTGTCACATACTAATCGCAAATGAAATAAAGTCACAGTCACAAAAACACAATTTATGAATCACACATTCTATTAATAAAATAATATTACACATAAATCCAAAAATTCTCCTTACTTTTTAACTACACAATATTCCATCAATCACTATTCCAAAAATTATTTTTCAAACAAAATGGGTGTCACACAGAAGATTAGTCGCAAATCATATATTTTAATAGGTTACAAATTACCAAATTAACTAACAATCAATCTACATCTCACCCCACCTCAACCTATCTCCACTCCACCAGTCTTCAAATCCACCACCACCTCTTTCAATTTCAAAAATTAGGTATATCCACCCCTAAACCACTTAATAAATTTACCAAAATTGGCCAAAGTGCTGCTCTTTCTTCTCTTCCTCCATGCCTTCTTCCTTTCTCCTATCAATACCTCATATCTAGCCAGTGATAGAGCAGTCCTTTTGGCCCTCCACGTCGCTACTACACTATTTTATTTATTTATTTATTGTGTTTTGGAATGTGACTGTATCTACGCCATGCAATTGGCAAGGTAATCTGTGTGAGAACAGCAGTGTTCCCACCCTCCAGCTTCCCCCTTTTCGGTATCATTCCGTCGGATTTTCTGTTTTCTATTTCAGGTTTCTCGGTACAGAAGAGATTTGTACAAGAATGACGTCAAGAGTGGACCAAGGGATTGGGGTGCCACCGCCGAAGAAGTTGGTGATAGACTCGAAGAATTGAGAAACCTTCGTCTACATAGAGAATAAAATTAACAAAAATGAATCCAAGAAATGGAAACTAAGGCCCTGTTTGTTTCTGATTCTCAAATCAATTCTCAAATCAATTCTCATTTTCAACCACACATTCTTCAATAAAATAATATTTTCCATCACATCAATACTTTTTTCTTCTTTTTCAACCACACATTTCCCATCATATCACTATTCAAAATCAATTCTTCCCCCAAAAATCCCTACCAAACAGGCTCTAAACCTTTTTTTTTAATGGATTTCTATTTTTTACTTTGACACAGAAGATATGGTAATATAATCTAATTTGTAATGTATTATATAGTTAATATTAAATAATTTAACTATAATCTGATTTATCATTGAAAATAAGAAAAACAGGAGGGTGTAATTTCGAGTAAATTGTTTGAACACTCATTAAACTTTAATATGGTCACGATTTACTCACTGAATTTCAAATTGCCTCTAAATGGTCACTGAACTCTATTCCAATTGCCCACCCCACTGCCCTCGAGTGTTGGATGTGGTGCAATTAATGAAAGTTCAGTGACCATTTAGAGGAAATTTGAAGTTCAGTGAGTAAGTCGTGACCATGTTAAAGTTCAGTGACTATTCAAACAACTTACTCGTGTAATTTCCCCCAATGAATTTATTGGAAATGCCTTATTATTTTAAAGGACATCACTTAAGATTTTTTTAAAATGAAAACACTATTCTCAAAATTCAGAAGAAAAAAATATATTTCTTTTTTTGAAAATGAGAAAATGATTTATTTATCTTCAACGAAAAATATTCACAGAGAGACATTTGTTGACTATTCTCGAAAAATGAAAATGTTTTATTTAAAAAATCATTGTCTTGCTTAAGGCAATCAAGTAGTCAATAGAAAAAAATAAGCAAATATTATTGGGAAAGGGATGAATTGATCACTAAGAATTCACTTTTATCTACTTTTTAACCATATACTCATACACACATACACAAAAATCAAATAATTACTTCTCGAAAAAATTTTACCAAACAAGTGTTGAATATCATGATCATGTTGTAAAATCCAGTTCATACTCAAAAATTATATAAGCATCTAAACCCACAACATTTTATTTTGGAAAAATTGCAGCGAAAGTCACAAATCTTTCAATTTGTAACGGACTACATCTTAACCTTTTATTTTTGCAACCATAGTCCCAAGCCTTTCACTTTGACCCATTAGTTAAAATTGAAATTAAAAGTAAGACTCAAATTGATAAAATAAGGGAGGGGTAAAATAGTATATTTACATTTTCTGTAATATAAAAACTTTAAAATAATTAAATCAAAAATTAAAAAGATAGAAACAAATAACTGTCCATCTTGCCAAACTCCCCAAACAATTTTATTTGACGTTCAATGAAGGTATGGTGGATCGTTGTAGCATGTTGGTTTTGGTTTGAGTTATGTTGTATCGTTTTTCTTGTTATTTGGTTGTACAGTAGAACAACAATTCTTGGTGTCAAGGCAAGAAAGATTGGCTTTGCTTCAACTGAAATCTTCATTAGGGTTGAGAGCAAAAGAGTGGCCTATGAAATCCGACAAATGTATTGACTGGGCATGATTACAAGGATCAACATTTCCAAGTGAAAAATCTGGATAAAACGTCGAAATCCAGGTGTTGTTTCATGAGAAAGACTACGAAAATCCCAAATTTAAAAATCTACCAAGATCATAAGACTAGAAGGATGAAATTGCAACAACGGTCGGCGTATCTGGATTTTCCCCTTTTTTTAGGAAAAGGTGGGTGTTTGGGTGGAAAGATGGACATTCATTTATTTTTATGTTTGATTTAATTATTTTAAAGTTTTTAATATTATAGAAAATGTAAATATCCTATTTTATCCCTCCCCTATTTTGTCAATTTGAGTCAAACTTTTAATTTCAATGTTAACTTACAGATTAATGGATGGATACTATAAAATGAACTTTGGCTGCAGTCAAAGTGAAAGTTTTTGAACTGCAGCTGCAAAAATCAAAAGTTAAAGTGTAGTCTGTAATAAATTGAAAGATTTGAAGCTTCCACTACAATTTTCCCTTTTATTTTTATTAGCAAAATCACATAGTTGCTACAAAAACTTACAAAAGAGTGTTACGTTCCAGTATATGCGTCACTTCAGTGCTATTTCAGTAATTTCCCTTAACTCTAAAAGTCTTGTGGGCCTTTCTCAAAATGGGATCCGCTACACAGATACGACAATCCAATCAAAACCCAAATTCAAAACCCTAAATGAAACCCTAACCCTTATATCACCTTCATCCCTCAGCAGCCCTAGAGAGAGAGTGAGAGAGAGGGAGTTGTAGTGAGAGGAACAATGGTGTCGGGCTCGGGGATCTGCGCGAAGAGAGTTGTGGTGGATGCGAGGCACCACATGCTGGGCCGCCTGGCCTCCATCTTAGCCAAGGAGCTCTTGAATGGACAGAAAGTGGTGGTGGTCAGGTGCGAGGAAATCTGCTTGTCAGGTGGCCTCGTTCGCCAGAAGATGAAGTACTTGCGGTTTCTTCGTAAGCGTATGAACACCAAGCCGTCCCATGGCCCCATACATTTCCGTGCTCCATCCAAGATCCTCTGGCGCACCATCCGTGGGTATGATGCTTTTTATGTTACTTGTTCGTTTTATTTTTTATTTGGTGAATGGTGTATAACTACTAGCAATTTGATTTCTTAATTTGTGTTTACTGGGTCGATTAAGAAACTTCATATGGGTTTGTTTTCAAGTGTTGAATTTATGTAGAATAATAGATACCACTTCGTGTTAGCACACTCGTTTGGCATGTTATGAACATGCATATTTGGTATTCATTTTTTATACATCAGTTTTAGAGCGTGTAATTTGCTTATAGTTCTTCATTTCTACATGGTTTACATATCTGTAATTTTGCATCTTTAGGAGAAAAGATGGCCCTTTAATTTGGCTTAGTTTAGTGTCAAATAGGCTTATTTTCTTTAATTATGCATTATGTGAAAATTGCTAAATGTCATCGCCAGTTTATGCTATTAACTATGCAGATTGATAGGTACACGTGAGGCTTCCAAAACCCAACCTCATAGATGGTCATGACTCGTGTAAGATAACACCAAATTAATACTTTGGCCTGTAGAGCATAATTGATCTTTGTGCAGAGTATGTAGATCTAAAATGTTGATTTTCCCATTTGGAGCTCATGCAAAGTGTGTTAATATGGAAATATGATATCCTTTTGTGTATGTTAAAGTGGCCTGCTTTTTATTAAAAACACATTTAGTGATTTGGTAATTGGAGATGGGTGGTTTAAAGTGATTCATAGCCATATGAATGTGGCTGGCATGGACAGGACAACCAGTGTATGTTTTAAATAATTTATGCTTTTATAGGTTGCAATTGTGGATTTGTTTGTGTTTATAGAGATATTCATGTTCTCCGGCGTTGATAACTAAGAACTTGTGTATATGGGGATCAGAAACCTGATTTTTTTTTTTTAAATGTATTTTCCATATATGCTAAATGTAATTTTTTTCAAACATCAAACTACTGCGGGCGGTTCTTATGTTATATTCTCATACCAAAGTAGTGTTGCTTGATATCTCTGTAATTTGGACATTGTAGTTGAGTTTAATGTGCTTGAAAGAGTTCGAGCATGTTTGCCCAGGATTAAAATCCAATTTTAATTGAAAATATGGCCGCTATTGGGTCCAACTCGTATAATAAAAGTCAACAATAACGGATAGCTTTTCAATTTTAATCTAATTTTAATCTCTACCGAATACGCCCTTAGTCTTGTTTCAATTTGTTTTATAGGATGATCCCCCACAAGACTAAGCGAGGGGCTGCTGCACTTGCTCGTTTGAAGGTTTATGAGGGTATCCCACCACCATATGACAAGACAAAGAGGATGGTCATTCCTGATGCTCTCAAGTGAGTTTTTCAAGAATTTTATTTTTTATTTAAAATATGTCCGCATCCAAATCTTTTCAGCGTATTGGCCTTTCATGATCAGGGTTTTGAGACTTCAAGCTGGACACAAGTATTGTTTGTTGGGTAGACTCTCATCGGAGGTTGGATGGAACCATTATGATACTATCAAGGTGAGTTTTCATGATTTTTGTCTATTGGTGACAAAATTAGTACCCTTTTAATGTAGGTCTTACATTTTTTTTTCTTTAGAGTTTGTTTTGCACAAATTTTGCCAAGGTGAAAAATGATTTTTTGGAGGATATGTGGTTAAAATGTGTGAAAATTAGTAGGTCCCATAGAATTTGTGGTTGAAATTAATTTTACAAAATCATTGACAAACAAGACCTTAATATTGTCGTTTGCCCTCATAGATTACAATTCCATTAAATCTTATAATATTAAGCCCTCGTTTCACAGTCATTATTTGGGTAAAATAGAGTTTTGAATAATGATATTTTGAAAATTTGTTAAAAAATGGAGAAAAGCTCCCAAATGGTCACCAGTTCGAATCCCCTTAGGGCTTCTAAGGTGAGTACTCGATCGTAAACTTCAGGGCACTGTGAGATTAGTCGAGTTGCGCTCAAGTTAACCCGGACATCCACAGTTATCAAAAATAGGGGGGAAAGTCTTATGTTTACATGAAGAATATTTTATTGTGTGAATGTGTGATTGAAAACGAGTATGTGGGAAAAAAAGGTTTTGAAATGATGGTTGTCAAATAGGGGCTAAATGTATAGTATCATTTACGAAATCTGCATTTCTCTTTTGTTTTGCAACTCCTGTTTTCTCTAAAATGTATATTTCGTGTCTTGCTGCTCGTGCTCCTCATACCCATTTCAGACATTAGCTTTTGCTTATTCAATGTATCTCTGCCTTCAAAATTAATTTAATCCACCAATCAAAACATATTTTCTTCATTTATTTTGTCGAATCCATGTGGATGTGCATGCCATCCACTTAATATTAATTTCTACGTTCAATTTGGTTTTACACTTCTGTTGAATTCCCCCTATCCTTTTTTCGTAGGTGATATTTTGAATGGATCATTGTCTTTTGATTTCCTATATAATAAACATATTTTGATGAAAATCTATTTTTAAACGTTATTGTTATGTATGCTGTAGGAACTTGAGACGAAGAGGAAAGAGAGAGCTCAGGCAGCGTATGAGAGAAAGAAGCAGTTGACGAAACTGAGAGTTAAAGCTGAGAAAGTTGCTGAAGAGAAGCTCGGCGCCCAACTTGACATCATTGCCCCGATCAAGTATTGAAAAGTGGCATTTCTTTTAAAGTGAAAATTTTGTTGGAAATTGACTTCTGTCAGAATTTTTTTTAAAAGTTAGGTGTTATTATGTCTACAAGTTTTTGTGGCAGTACTTGAGCAAACATTTTTCTCCCTTTTATTTTCGACTTTGTTCTCGAAATAGTGTTATTCATAAGATTTTTCTGATTTTTTCCTTGTGTTCGTGCTTCGTGCCTTGCCTGCGTTGGCTTGCATAAGATTTTACAACTAGTAAAATGCAGCTGAAAGTAAGCCCTTGTTTGACCTCCTTTATGTCAAAAACCTTTTTTTTTTTTATATATGATTTCAGTAGCATATTCACACAATAAAATCATGTAAATTTGAGATTTTTTCATACTTTTTAGTTGCACATTTTTCAAAAATTCACAATTCAAACCATTGAAAATCCCGAATAAGTGCAGTCGTAGATCAGCTGAAAGGTGAACTCTGCTAGACCAGCCATCGATTCAATCTCTTCATGGCGCCTTTTTTGCTGTGTTTGACTCCTTCAGAGGCAAAAGAAGCCATCCAGGCTGTAGGGAAAGGGCTGAATGGATTATTAGATTGTTCGACTTCTCACCATAAAACAATTGATTTTGATATTTTAATGCCTAATTGAATGAATTTTTGTTTTGCAAATTTAAGCAGAGAATGACAAGAAAGAAAATTATTGCTGTAAAACAGAATGTTGCTTAAACATTAAACATGAAAAAATAATTTGTTTTAAGATTGATTTTTTTTTTTTTTTTTTGTTTTAAACGGCTTCAAGATAGTGGTTATTATTATATTTTATATGTGGTGCAATATGAAATCGTGCAAATGAAATAAGTTAAATACCCGAGCTCGGCTCGATTTTAGGGATAAGTAAAGCTCGGCATAGGTTTAAACCAGATCATTATTATGATTGGCCTGGCTGACTAGTCTTTTTATAAAATCGGTTAAAAAGTCTATATTACCCTTAATGATATGAGTTTTCATTTATTACAAGACATATCATTTTCTTATGTATAGTTTTAGATATTAGTTTCTTATATAAACAAATTCATTCGTTGATATAATCTTTTAGTATATGATAAAACAATATCAGTTTAAACATCAAAAATAATTTTAAAGGTTATTATCTCTTCTTTCTTGATTTTTATTATTTAATTTCATTCTAAGTTGTAGTATATTCGAATAATCTTCAACATATTTTTTTAAGTTTTTTTCAATCCTATCAAGTTCTTCAGTTTGTGTGTTTATATTTTCTAATTGAGAACATAATTGAGAAGTAAATTTTATTTTATCTAACATTCTATCTAACAGATTATCTAATTCTTTAATTGTATATCATGGCATATCAGTATAGATCTAAATATAAAACTGTAAATAAACATGATTGTAACAACAATATCATCATAATGATCCATGCGATTCTTTAAGATCTTCAGAAAAATTCGTTCTAATTTTAACAAGAAATGATAGTTTTACCTTAACTTTGATCTGGTTCACTATCCCTAAAACTGAGTGACCTTTGAGCTCTGGATTTGCAAATCTTTCCCTTCAATGGCCTTCTGCCTAATGAGATCCTCGCTATTCCAGCTTCCCGCTCTCACTGTATCACCTCTAAGAACAATTCCCTAGACTTGAATTAAAGAAAAACTTTATTTGATGCTAAAATAAAAAAGAAGATTTCTATTAGATCCTTCAAGAATTTATGGGAGTAAAGATTTAGAGATTCATCTCTTTTTCAAAAGGATTGGAATGTGAATGATCTATTCAATATATAAAATTGATACACAATTTTTATGGGAACATAAATTCTTTGGCATTCTCATAGTTTAAGTGCTCAAATCATTTCTCAACCAATTTTCATTTTGTCCTTCATCTAACCTGAAGGCATCTATTTATACAAGCAAATGAGGTAAAATTATTATCTTCTTACATCGCTGATTACATTATATTCCAATTATAGAGCTTTATCAAAAGTTTCAACTACTAAATTGTCATGGCTCTATTATTACATAAAACAAATAGTTTTATTTTACATTTTCTTTATTCAGGGCTCCACCCTTTTATTTTTCTTCCTTCTGATCTTACATCTTCACTTGCAGTTTGGACACTCCCGCAGCTGGCAAGATTCTCTTATAGTGGTAGGACATCTTGGGAATTGATGTATATCAAATTTTGTAATGAAGTTCTTCAATATTTCGGACTTTCCATATCCTCCTTTAGTCACCAACATCCAGTTTTCATATTGGCATATACATGAGAAATTTTTATCATATAGATTTTTTGCAATACCATATATTGCTTTTATCACAAGTGCTTTTCTATGTCTTATCCATGATTTGGTAACTTTTGGCATTCTTTTGTCACTTTCTTCGACATCTATGTTAAAGTTGGCTGCAACATATTCAATTGAGATTATATGGTTAACGGATAACAGACAACTCTACCGAATTCTGGACTAATTGAGAAAATTTTTAGATATACTCTTCGTCCTATGGGATAAACATTCTGTACCCGGAGAGACGAAATATGTATCACACATTTTCATTTCATAAACCGTTTGGATTATGGTGGCTTATTTTTCTTCATTTTTGTCCAAAGGGATTCTATC